TTTTTTTTTTTCCAATAAACATTTCTCTCTTTCTACCTAATTAAATATTTTAGAGCTTGGATTAGCTTGCCAAAATTTTATATTTATTATAGAAATTATCATAACTTTTAAGATTTTTATAATTATTTTTTAGGTGTAGAAATAACACTTTCAAAATGTCAGTCTTCCAAGACCATGGGTCCCCTTAAAATTCTGCTAAGGCCCCCTAGTGGTTCCCAGCCCACTGGTTGAGAACTATTAACCTAAGAATGTGATTTTCTAATGCTGTCTTAGTTAATTCAAATTTAAGTTTTTGTGTTTCTGTCTGTTTCCATTAAAGCAAGCACCACAGTCACTCAAACTACCACAGCCATGGGAACAAATGCTAAACACTCAACAAATGCCATAACACAGGTAGGTGATTTTGAAAGACATGTTGAAGGAATTGATGAAGTCAATCAAATAGTTCTGAAATCTGAGCCTGGTCTTTGTGTCTAATTAGGAATCAAGCGAGGAAAGAAACAGGCAGCTGAAAGAGCGTCTGGCTAGTTTATTTCATGCCAACGAGCGGCGGTCCTCACGCTCTGTGATGTATGGTTCTGACCTGATCAAGACCTGCTTTGTTTATGAGGGACACCCTCCACCAGCCTTCCCCGCACCCCAGCACTCCCGCTGGTCCTGGGTCGGCAGAGACAGCTGTATTAGGGCCCAGTGGACTTGTGTGTCCACGGTGGCCCCACTCCGCTCAGCGATTCTCTCCAACACGGAGCAGGAGGCAGCAGCAGGCACTTTGTTAAAGAGGTCTGGATTTGACGATGTACTCCTTTCCATGAAAGCAGTTTTGTGAGCTTTTTGTGATCTGATGCTGCTTCCTGTTATATTAAAGGTTCTCCTGCATACTTCCTGCTGCTGTGGCCCCTCCCCCTCAGCTGTATGCATCCAATCCTCCACCATCTTACAGTCTTGCACAAAAATCATTCAGGCGACAGCTACAGGAAGTGTCCGCTCCACACAACGCAGAGATCCGTAACTTAGCCTGTCCTCCTGTCGTCAGATTCCCTGATGTACACATGCTGGAGATGGATTCAGGTGAGCGCCACAACAGTACCTCAGCTCTGTTACATTCAGATTTATATTTCACAAATATTACTGATATTCAGTTAAGCATACTATTGTATGTTTCCCAATATGGTATCCTCTATCCATCATAGAGCTACGATTCTGTCCTTTACAGTACCATTGAGAAATTTTGGGTTGGTAAGATTTTTTGTTATATTTTATATATATCTTTGTACTTAAATATTATGTTTTAGATTTTTTTAAATACCTCTCTTCAGCAAGGACACATTCAAGTGATTAAAATCACATTTAAGACCTTTTTTTTTTTTTATCCAGCCAAACATGGAATGTAAAAAATTATGGTTTCCACAAAAATATTAAGTTTTAATATGTCTTATTATTATTAATGTTTTCAACATTGATAATAATAAGAAATGTTTTTGAACACCAAATCAGCATATTAGAGTGATTTCTGAAGGATCATGTGGCACTG